CTCACCGACTCTCTGCCTTTCTTCATAAACCATCAACCCATCATGCTTTTGAACTTATGTGCATTCCTTTGCCATGGGTATGTATGAAGAGGCAGAGGCAGATGATGAAAGGAGCCGCAGTCCGCAAAAGCTGATTATTTGTGACATAGACTAACACGGCTCTCCTCCTATGATGTCCAGGGCTCCTTGGAAACTCACCCTCTCCCTGGAAGAGGTGTAGAGGGCCCCTGTTCTACCCTCCCCCAAATGCTGGGTGCTGCTTCCCTGCCAAACTAAGATACAGCCACGGTGCCATTCCCTTTCTAGCAGTTCTCCCCAGATCTGTTTCCCTTTTCTCTCCAGACTTAATTAATATTAGAAAGAACCTTTTCTCACCTGCAGATGCCCCCTGCAGTCCACACAATTGTGTGAGAAGCCCCCCTTGGGAGATAGTTTGGGATCTGCTCCATTTAGTGACCCGCAGCTGAATAATTCCTGCTGCCTAGAGCTTCCCATTTCTAACTTCCGATGGGGATGTTGTGAGGACTAATTAATTAACAGTGGTAAAGTGTTATTTAAGTGCTCTGAATTTTTATTACCTTGTCACTTACAGAACTTGACTCTGCTGTTGCTTTTGCTGTTTTACATCTGTGTAAATCCACTAGTTATAGCAGAGCTCCTCTGTGGTATGGTTTGGTGTGATTAAGAAGAAGATTGAGCCTTTGATTTGCACAGCTGGAGGGCAGGCAGGCGCCTTGCTAGTTTTCCCACCCCAGCTATTCAAGTCCTGATGTCTCTCAAGTCAGCCACACACGTCCAATCATGCGGAATTGCTTGGTTAGCTGGGGTGCTAAGAAGTATTTTGGAGGCCAATTTAAGCACAGTCTAATACACTGAGAGTAAACCAGGCTGAACCTAGTGGAGTTTGCTCTGAATAGAAGGTCATCGTGAGAGGACTTTTTGGAAGAGGCCGCGGTTCGAGCACCCAGTTGGCTGATCGGAAAGAGGAGACTGCCCCAGAGTTTTGCAGGGGGAGAGGGTCATTCAGAGGGTCCCTCCTGCTGACCACCGCTTGCCCCTAGGATTGCCAGCAGGCGGTCTGCTAAGCCTTGCCCAACCTGGTGCCTTGAGGTATGTAGGACGTCAGTGACCGTGCCGGCTGGGATGGGAGTTGGTCCAACCCGTAAGGAGGGCGCCAGGTGGGGAGGGCTGGTCAACTAGCTGAATATGGTGTGAGATGAATTGCAGTTCCATTAAATTTTGTAGTCATGGTCAAAAATGGTTCCCTGAAATATTAAAGTCTTGATTTGGACACTTGTGAGTGGAAACCATCGCGCAGAAGGGCTTACTGGGAAGCCAAAGATGCTGGATATTCCCTGTAGCTTCCTTGTTTACCTGCTCCAGTTTGGATCCTTGGGTTTTTAATGAGACTCACAGAAATCCTGCTTATGTGAGGCTTATATTGTGACACAAGTTTTCTTCTTTTCTTCAATTATTTTCTTGGTTAAGCCACCCACAACCTATTTCTGTGTTATACACAGGGAGCTGAACCACGAGACATGAGAACTTGTCTTCTTAAGATACCGACTGAGATGTCTTCACTCCTCAGCCACAGTGGGGCTCAGCTGTACAATGGGAGCCACCATGGCGCCCCTGATTTTGGAAACATTTTTGATGTACTGCATAAAGGCCCTTGGTTGCTGATAAGGCGGAACCTGAGGGGGCACCTCAAGAAGGCATCTCCTTAAAGCTCAGCAGTCCTTCTAGAATAAGGTTGGAGGGATCCGGCCAGGTGGTTTCCTAAGGAACCGTTGGCTGTGCCTTCCTTCCGTCTGCTGCAAGAGAGCGGGCGCGCTGGCTGGCTGGCTGGCTGGCAGCCTGGGATTCTGCCCTGCTTGGGCCTAGGGAAGGATGAGCCCCTTTCTTGCCCCAAGAGGGAGGCAAAGTTGCAGCTGCCCAGCCCCCATTGTAAGGCAGGGTTGGTTAAACCCCTCCTCCCCTGCAATGGGGTTTGGGGTGAGGTGGGGTCGCCCCTTTCGGCTGCCCAGGGCTGCTCCCTTAGCCTCCACGCAACCAGAACCTGGGAACAAGGAATTTGCATGGTGTGATCTTGTCCTTGCCGCCCCTGTGCTGAAGTCCTGCCTCTCGCGGCGACCTGGCTGCATATGTTAATGAGCGACCTTAACAATGTCTTTTGTTCTTCCAGCTTTGGAGAGCGCAGAAGATAAAACAGGTAACCTGCTCAGGGTCCCTCCTCGATGATGGGCAGCGGCCGCCTCTTGGCCGCACCTTTCAGCTGCCAATGCTGCTCCTGCGGCTGCCCTTGGTCCTGTCGGGGAAGGCAGAGCTCCCCGCCGGGAGCTGGGTCTGCGCCGGGGACTCTGATCTCGGCCCCAAAGTAGCCGGCACGGACCCTGGGGAAGGAAATATTTTCTCCCAGGGAGGGGACACCTTTGCCCTTGGTTTGCCGGCTGCCTCTCCGCAGCGCAAGGGCCTGCGGGGCCGTGGCTCCATGTCGGACCGCCCGGGAGCAGACTCTGCCTTTGGAGGGCCTAAGCCCTTCCGGAGCCTGGGTTGGGAAGCGGGTGGGATTCGGAGTTTAGATACCCACCAGATGCCAGTCAGACTCAGGCGGCAGGACATACGCCGGCAGGAGCCAGATTTTTCTCTCCTCCACCTCCGCCCCCAGTCAGCTTTCCTTCAGCCTGGATGGCTGAGGAGGAGGGGGGCTGGCTCTGATCTTCCCCCAAGCCAAGAAGCAGATCTGTGAGGTAGCTGTGCCCACTTTCACTACATCTCCTTCTTTTGTAGGCCATCATCCACCCGGACACGAACGAGACCATTTTCATGCCTTTCCGAATGTCAGGTATGGCCCTGTGGAGATCTGCCGGGGTTCGGGCGCTCGTCTTTCCCAGCCCTCGGTCACTCCTCTGTGCTGTCGGTGCCCCCCGGGCCCTCTCTAGCTCCACTGCAGAGATGCTTCTCCTCCTCGGCTTCGGCAGGAAAGGGCCATAGCCGGCCTGGCCCGATCGCAGAAGCCAAGCGCCCCTTGACCTTCCTTGCACGTCTGGGGCAAGATGCCTCCAGCTCATTGTAAACTACCAAGAGACCTCATTTGGTAAAGAGGGCGTGGATGATGGAATCAGTGACCCAAAGGCGTGACGGGCTCCCCTTGGCTGGCTGGAGACGTTCAGCCAGAGACAGCCATCTGCCCAGAGTGCTTGAAATTGGGTTCCTGCCCTGAGCGTGGGGCTGGACTTGGTGGCCGCAGGAGTGCCTGCCAACTCCAGGGTTCTCATGACGTCATCGCCTTCAGGTGACCTAGGTCGGCTGCAGGTTAACGTGTGCACGTGACACTCCTCAGCTCAGGAGTCGTGTTTCTGTAAATTCATACTCTGCCACCATGTACCCCGAAGTGAAATCCTGTTATTTTGTTGCTTTGGTCATGGAGAAAGTAAAGGAGCAGATGCTCATAAGTCACTAAGAGAATAGTTATGATAACCACCCTCCCCTGTTCCAGATGTACTGGGGCTGGGGCTCCCAGAATGGCCCACGTTTACGCATATTTGGGAGGTGCTCTCAGATCTGGGCTGCAGAACTCTGGGCAGCCGTTGAATGGGAGCCCAGAGGCCGAGCTTCCTGCGTCCTTGTGCCACCCTCCAGTGCTCGTCAGGGCCTTGCAGCCCGGCTAGGGCCCTTTCTGGGAGGTGGGAGAGGGCCTCGGTCTCAAAGCGACGCCTTTCTTCTCTCTCTAGGTTACATTCCTTTTGGAACTCCTATTGTAAGTATCACCTCTGTTCTGCTTCTTGTAGTAAGAAATGCATTTTCGGCTTTGACTTACGGTTCTCCAGCTCAGCTGGGACTTTTCTGAAGGGGTCACTGGCCACCACGAACCCTCCTGGGAGGCACTTCTCTGCTTGCTATTACCGGAGCGCCCGCTTTGCTGCGTGGGGCCGAGAGGAGCCCCATGGACTGACCCTTGGCGCAGTTCAGCGCAGCTTGTGGAGCATCAGCCTCAAAGACAAAGCTGAGGAGCACCCCTTCCCTCTCTGTGACCTTTTGGCCCCGACTGAAGCGGGCTGGCTGCCCTCCGCCACCCGCGTAGCTGCTGGTGGCGGTTAAGGACCAGGAAGGCGGGACGCTTGGCTCCGCCGAAGGCAAGCGGAGGCAGCATCGCGGGGCAGGAATGGAAAAAGAGACCTGCGGGCCAAGAAATGGAATTAAGCCAATGTTTGGGTGCCATTTTGTCTGGGAAAAGTGGGGGTTCCCGGACTTTTTAAGGGAGCCAGCAAGGCCTGGTTGGGGAGGTGCCAGTTTGGGGCAGCCCTGTCCATCTCTGGGTCTGCAACGGCCCTAGCCCCCTCCTCGCCTTCCGGGGGAAGCGTTGGCACCATTGCTGTCGTTCTCCTTGGCGGCTCCCTCTGTCTCGAGTTATTCTGAGGCTGAACATGCCTGGGGAGCCGTTCTGGCCACATTGCCGGAGACATATGGCCCTTCCTGTAATGATCTCTTGAAGGAAGTAATGGCATGATTCCCAGCATAAAGAGGGGAAAGGTGTCCTTATTTATGTTTAACATTTGGGTGGTAATCTGTAATTAACTTTGCAAAAAGTTAAACAGAAATTTGAGTTAGCGATCAGGTTGACACCAGAATCGGCCCAAATCCAGACCTGTCAGAGGAGCTGAGAGCTGTCAGCAGAGCTGCATTTCACAAGCTGTAAATGATAAACTGGAACCTCTTGTCATAAAGCAGAAAAAAGTGATTTTCAAATGTTACATTTTAATTTTAACATTTATGCCAATTGATCTGTGAAATGTAGTGACATAATTGGCAGTTCCCTCAATCCCTGTCTGAGTCTTCAACTGAGCATACTGGAAGGAAGGGACGGGGGTGTCGGGGAGGGTATCAGCTGGGAACTCCCTTCCTCCCTTCCTTCCTTCCTTCCTTCCTTCCTTCCTTCCTTCCTTCCTTCCTTCCTTCCTTCCTTCCTTCCTTCCTTCCTTCCTTCTCTCTTTTCTTCCCTCCCTCCCTTCTCTCATTGTGTTTGTTTCAGGGTCTAGGGCTGCCGTTGAAGCCAGTCTGAACGTGGGGCAAAGCAGGGGGCTTCACTGATGCAGCAGGAAGGGGTGCTAAGGAGGCTGGCAAGGTCCAAGGCAGGTGACCTCCCACAGAGAAGGGAAGTCTGGCTTGCAGGCTGCTGGCCTTTGAGGGAGGAGAAGTGGGGCCACCTTCCCAGGGCTTAGAAGAGTGGGCCAGGCAGAGCTTCAGGACCGCGGCTGAGGCAGCCTCCCTGCTGAGCAGTCATTGCACTTCTGGTCCTTCCCCCTGCCTGGCACTGTCAGGCGGGCAGCTCTCAGAATCCCTGGCCAATGCACTTGGCAAAGCAGGTCTGATCGTCCGTCCGGGGGGGCAGGCGGGCACTTCCGGCATGTGTAACACCCACACAACGTGTCAGCGATGTGGAAAGGCCCGCTGGTTGAATTTCTGCCTGTCCCGTCCATGTGCAGGAGGCCCTCTGAAGCAAAGCTCAGTTGTGCTGGCCTTTGATGGCAGGCTTTGGGGGAACCCAGGTCCTGTTTCTGGTGGGATCGATGGCTGGGGTTTTTTTCTTGATTTACTGCCTATCCCGAGCCCTGGAAGACCCTTTGTCAGTCTTTTTGCACGTGCAAAGGAGTTCTGTACAGTTTCGTGGTGAATCCGTTACTGCGATTTTAGATTTTCCCCCATTTGTTGTCTTCCTCTCCGCCAGGAACGAGAAAGGAAGCCGTAGGTTCTTGGCAGATTCTGGCCCAGATGGAGCGCTTACATTAAATGTGCCTCTTGCAGGCAGGCAGCCTTCTCGTGCGCCCCCCACCTCTTAAGCAGCTCCCTCTTACTCATTTCCAGCCATTCCCTGCCTCCCCGCCTAGCATCCACCTGCCCCACAAGAAAAAATCTAAGCCGGGGGATTCTTTGTTTTGCACAGACATGCAGGCTTGCGGGGTGAACTGGGCTGATCATGAAGGGAGTTGGGCCTCCCCTCCATGCCAGCCTGGCTCCTCAACCGGCTGCCCGAACCAGAAGGAGCAGCAGCCTCAGTGCGGAAGAGGCAGAGGCTCTCTGCATCCCCTGAGAAGTCTGGGGAGGAGTCCCCAGCGGAGGATGGCGCAGGGAGCAGGGCAGGAACGGTTTGGCTGCTGCGGGATATAACTTATGTGGGACAAAGTCAGAGGCCAGGTAAGGTGGCTCCCCGCAAGGTCTTCCTGGCCTAGGGCCCCTGCCTGCCTTTGCTGAAATTGAGCCACCTCCCTTGCTGCGAAGAGGAGGTCGTGGGCGTGCCCGGGGACAAGGCCTCCCCTGCCAATGTTCACCCACCTCTTTTCTTTGCCTGGGGAGCAGAGAGCGGCTCCTGTAAGTCCGGCAGGACCCCCCTGCCAGCCTGGGGTCGCTCTGTTCCTTGTGGCTGAGATGTCCCCTTTCCTCTCTTAGGTGGTCGGCCTTCTGCTGCCAAATCAGACCCTGGCGTCCACCCTCTTCTGGCAGGTAAGGATTTTGCGCCCACCATTGCCTGGAGGGAAAGCACCAGACCTCTCCGTGTTTTGGGCTTTGTTTTATTTAATCATTTAAGATCACTTTGCTGGGGCTGCTGGGGGGGGACCTCTTTTACCTTCACTAGCAGGCGCTTCCCCAGGTGGTCAGAATGTGTTTTTTTTCGCGTGCATAATGGCTGCCCCTCTGGGGGCCCTCTTCCGGGGTTTCTGTTG